GTCCTTTTTCAACGGTATTGTCTTTGACAAAATGTTCAAAAGTCATCCCTCTAACGTTCTTGTAATGGGTGATGAATGGCCACATGTGAAGAAACTTCCATTTTATATTACCTTTGAAGACGAGATTTCGCTTTCATATGATAACATGTTATTTCTAAAATTTATCACTTCTCTTCCAGCTATTCGTTGCATAAAAAATCCTTTCTTTCTGTTGGCAACATTAAATGGCCTTGCTGCTGAGATACTCAAAATGACTACTCACATTTTGAGGCACAGTCGTCCACCATCTGTTTTCGCTGCCCCACATTCCACTCTCTCCTTTAAAAGTGCATCAAAGTAATACCGTGTCATATTCACTTCTCATCTCCCATTCCTTCCTCTTCTTCTAACCCTTGTAATCATATTAGACTCGTTGATGCGCAGTAGTTCCAATGTGTACAGTTCTTGTTGGCGAATATTCGAAAAGGAGTTGTTTACCGAGTGTTCAGTGACGAGTGACAATTGATGATCCCGACACATTTCACTGATATCAGTGCCGCTGTGCTCGGCCCATTGGCGACTATTCGCAACAGCTAGCCTGACCCAGATATCTGGCCGCAAACCTTACCGAACCACACTTAACAACCAAATAGATATTGCGCCGGCGCTCATTGCCAATTTGCATGTGGAATCACAAGCAATGCGATTGTCGATTACACAGCGGAAATCAGTGCAGAATTGAAAATTGAGGGGGAAAAAGCAGCCTAATTAGAGGGGAAAAACGTAGTTGCGAAGGTGGTCGCGATATTCGTAGTGGCCTCATTTCGGCGAAGGGGTATTAGTGAAACGCAAAAACATCTCCCGATAACATGGACCGCAGAAAAAGAACAATAGAAGACGAGTGGCGTTAAGCACCCTCTTAGGGTCACTGAAAAAAGGGACGAGACTTGTCAACAAACCTTTGGGTCTACCGTTGATATACGACAGTTTGACAATGTCAGCGATCGGATCTGACCGGCTGGCAGCACGTCCAGCGTTGGTTGCGAACATCCTGACACCCGCAGCCGTTCGATACGTGTTGACCCAATGTCCTGAAAAGTCAAGATCTTTAGTTGAGATTGGCCA